GAGTCCACTCAACATGACTGCGGAGTTCGGGGATGCGGTGCAAGGAGGACAGAAGTCAACTCACAAGGCAGCCACAAGCGGAGGGGTCAAATGATGACACATGGGAGACCACACAAGTGACTCTCATAGTGCCCGAAGGAACGGAATGTGATAGAGTTCCCAGCAGTGCGGCAGTACAAGGCACAGTACTGCTGCAGCATGGTGCAAACTCATCACGGAAGGAGATGGTGGGGTTGAGACGAGGTCCTCAGAGTGCTGGAGCACAGGCCGAGGGTAGACTCACTCAGGGTGTTCAGGTGGTTAGCCTGCCAAGGGCCGGGAATGTGCTGATTTGCGGCATCTGGTATGAAAACTCGGCCAAGTGGCAACAGCGTCACCAGGAGAACGGGAACAAAGGACTCGGGATCCCATTTGGTGATGGCACAAGGAGGTACTCCATGCCGCTATGGTAATTACGGCGAAGGCAGCGATAGCGGGATTGACGGGGTGGAAGCCTATGGCCATTTGGGGAATCGGAGTCAACTGGGGGAGCCAAACAGGCTCGGAGCGGGGTACCTAGGCATGGGTGGAGGAGGACATCTAGTCCTCAACTGGGTTACGAGGACCCGGCCAGGTGGGTACGGAACCGGTGGTGTTGTATCATCAGATACAGGCTCAGAGGTCATTGGGGGTTGGATGCAAGAGTCGGCCATACTAGGCCTTCTGCAATGACTGACCTATGAGGTCAGGAGAGGGCTGTAGGGGTGTGCACTCAGGCACTGAGGGGTCGGGAGTGGATAGGGATGATGTCCAGGTGATGAGGGAGGATCGGTGTCACGCACGGGCTTGCTCCAGGTTAAAGCAGTGCAGTGGTTGACAGGACGACGCGGCGAAAACTCCTAGGGGAAGACTGGTCATGGGCCAAGGGTTGTTAGGCACGGAGTCCTTATCCCCCTCTTAGGGAAGACGTCCCATCGTCTAACTGCGCTTATAGGCTTGCACCGAGTCTTCTGGAGATGGTGGCGGAACATCACGGTGTTGGGAGAGTACTTCAACTATTATAGCTGAAGCCGGAGGGTGCGGCGCTATCGGGGTAATTCCCAATAAACTACCACACGTGTTCAGGATTCCACACACAGGTGGAATAGCAAATTTTCTTCCTCAAAGTCGGTCCTAAGGTTAAACCCATGATAAAACATGGTATACCCTCGGAGTCGGCAGAGAGGTCGACGGCGATGGGGTGTTAGCCCATAATACAAGGCCAGTGACGGCCAGGTGGGGTGTCAGCCAGCGGTGGTGAAGCCGGTGACCAGTAAAGTTGGAGGGTGCAGGGCTTGGGTGCTCAGATGCTCAGGATGTGTGGCCCATAACGTCAATCACTCAACGGAGTATCATGACTAGAGTCCGTGATCCTAGCGGTAGAGTGGTGAAGTCCGGCAAAGCGGAGTAGAGTCGGAGTGGAGTGTTTGGGGTTGGACTGGGTGTGCTGTTATCTAGACGCAGTATGTTCAAGAACCATTGCTCAACGGAGCCTCAGGGAGAACAACCTTGTCATAAGACAAGTGGGATTGCGGCCCATCCAACAAAGTGATGACAAGGCATCGGCAAAATAGGCGAAGGTGGGTAGTCAACCAGTGGTGTGATGGCCAAAGGTGATGGGGAAACTAAGGGTGGAAGCGGCACAAAGGCGTGCTATCCTGGGATGGTATACCTAGCATTACTAATGGAATGCCTGGTGGTCAAAGTGCATACGTGGTGAATTGGCTTGAATGCCAACCAATGGGAGTACTGCCCAAAGGTGGCCGGGGGTGCTGTCAGGGACAGCTCCGAAAGCGGCGAGGTCCCGGCATGTGGGACTCGGTGGGACGAGTAGCGGCTGTGCATAGCGGCGATCTCGTCGCAGGGTGAGCATCCCCGACCACTTAGTCTGAAGTGGGAATGTGAGTTATTATTAGAAGGGAAGGCTACACTACTTGCCTGAAGTGGGAATGTGAGAAGGCTACTTCTTCGGTTCCCACTCCAGCTGTTATTATATACAAGATCAGGCGAACCTATGGCTGTGTTCTTTTTTTTCAGCTGGACCACCGTTTTCTCGCTCTCTGATTGGCTGAAGCCTCGCTCTTTAAGGTTTTAGCCTTGACCTCGAGTTATGACGGATCCGAGATGGAATTCGATTGACTTTCATCAGTGTTGGAGAGTCTCCTGTGCGTGTTCAGAACAGATCGGCTTTCTTTTGGCTAAGTGGTATGTTTTGACATCGATTTGTTCACGATGAATGCGGCCAAGTTTTTTACCTTCCATCCAACTACTATTGGATTAGTGACACCCGTGCTCATTGACACTTTGACTTTGTTTCTTTCATTTGACACATCACCTAATGGCCAGGTTATACCTTGGTCGACACACTCATCCAATGATTGCGACGACACAACCCCCTGGAATCGTTCAATGTACAGAGTCTCAACAGTGCATTGAAACACGTTCTTGCTCTCTCATTGGCTGGCCGGGCACCCAGCGTCATTCCGGTTGTGTTCACTTGTCTCGCATCTGTGGTATATACCTATATCATTCCATGGCTTTAGAGCGCACTTTCAGGGCTTGACATGACCTCACATCAGATGAAAATCTCGCCCCTCAACGACGACTCAGACAGTCATAAAAAGGTGGGTACATGGGATTTCTTTTATCATCATGTTTCACACTCCGCGAAACCTTTGAATTGTGCAGTACTCCGGGAGTGTACAACGTTAGGAAGAATGGGCATGGTTTACAAACGGATGTGGAGTGTGTTCGCCATGTTAGACTCAAGGTAGCAGTGCAGAGTGTACAACATTAGCCATGCTGGGCTTGTCATTGTCAATCAGGATCGATAGTTGCATCATTGCGATGTCACATTCTAGACAACAGATTAGGTGAAGAGGTTGGAGCGGCATGTGAAGAAGTGCGCATCGATGAGATAGATGACGCATGTGGGCTGGTCAGGAAACTCAGACACAACCGGAGATGAGATAAGCTAGCTGGCTGGCCCCAAACAGGCGATGACTTAAGCGACCAGATCCCAAATCGGTGATGATCTAAGCAAGCAGAACCAAAATGGGTGAGGAAGAGCCCTAAAGGGGTGATGAGCTAAGCGAGTGCATCCCAAATGGGAGCTGAAGTAAGCGCCTTCATCCAATGAGAGTGTGTGAGACCTCGCTCCAACCAATCGGCATTCGCGATTCGTGGAGCGTGTCCATGCTCTTTATATAGTAGACATGCGGGATCGGTCATGTGGGGCGTGCCACGTCACCCTCGCACACAGCCACGGCTCTCCGGGTGCCTCCACGGGAGATCCCGAGAGGGCCCACTGTGGGTGCGGGGCAAGCACGGCGGCGGTGGCGGCGATATAGGAACGGTGAGATACAGGAGGGGGAAATGGGCATGCACGCTGTTAGACACTGGTCCGGGGTCGGCACCGAAGGTCGCCGATGCGGGCTGCTATAGGCCGCGATGGCCGTGATGCCATGAACAAGGCCCGAGGGTAGGGCATTTGGCCTCAGCAACTCTAAAGGGAGTGCTGTGCCCCCTAGCTGTCTCTTGGCCCTCATTTCAGACTCACTGGGGTTGCCTTGCTGGGGTCAGGACTTAGGGGTTGTGGTCAAATCGATATTAGAGCTGAGGTACTATAATGTAGTATACAGGATATATATATGAAGATAGAATGAATAGAAGCGGACCCGGGCCGAAGGCCGAAGGGTCCGGAAGCAAATAGGAACAAAGAGCGGGGTTGGCCGCACAGCGGCCGGCAATGACCGAGGGTCAAAACAAACAATAACAGATAAATAAACGAAGGGGTGTAGGGCCGCGATAGCGGCGATGGTATCATAGCGGAGTAGGCGATGTCGCGGAGTCACACTAGGTCGGTGTGGCTGTGGGGGGAGTTGGCCAGGTGCAGGGGAGCCTAGGGGCAAGCGGGGAAGTGAGCAGGGAGTCCTCATGGAGGATAGGGCTGAGGTCGGGGCTCGCGCTCGCGCTCGCATAGCGGGAATGGGCTCGGGCAGCATCGGGACGGGCGGCTAACGGGCCGGGATGCATGGTCGTGACACACGCCTGTGATACATTGAGCAGTGGGAAAGGTGGTCCATGTGAGAAAGAAAGAAAGAAAGAAAGAAAGGAAGAAAGGGAGAGGGAGAGGCGGTGTGGAGTGGGGGAGCGGAGCGAGGGTCAGGCGGGGCATGCCCTGACAGGTGCGCAGGGTACTAAACTGGAATACTTGGACGTTCAGACTGATTTACTTGCTCAAAATCCCGGTCGCTCAACGGAGCAAGGTGGGTGAGTGTAGTTGGTGTCCCAGAAACGGTAGGGTAAGGTCCATATAGCGAGGTGACATTGAAATGTCCAAATTGATTGCACCGGTAGCATAGCGGGTTTGATACTTGTTGCGGGCCTGGATACCGGTGTGCCGGTAGTGCCTCTACAACAGTCGAAGTGATAATCGGCGATGAGCCAGATCATTGGGGGGTGACAAAATCCTCAGAGGCAAGGAGATGGCGACCGAAAAAATCGGCGAGAGGACAGAGTCCTCAGACAGAGTGGACGGTGTTCCCAAAAAGGAAACAAATGTCCCAGAAGAACAGAAACGGAAACAGAAAACAGAGTGACATTGAAAACAAGCAACATGTTTCAAAATGGAAGTAGGCCATTGAAGAGAAACAGAGATGGAAAGCCAAAATCGGCGAAAATATCGGCGAAATGCCGGTGAATGAAGTATCGGCAAAGTTTAACAACTTATCGGAGAAGTCATATTTTTACTAGAGTGCGTGCTTTGCATCGCGGAAACCTGCACAGCCATGGCAGCAGAAACATTGTGGTATTAAATCAAACACGCTTTTTGACAGTATGTACATAGAGTTTAGTCGGGCGAGGTGTTTCTTTGAGACAAGAAGGTAGGACGAGTAGGAGGGGGGCCTCAGACAGATCAGAAACTAAGAAGTGTGAAAGATTTCGGCCGCAATCGGCGTTTCTGTGAGAGGGCCCGCCTTTCAGCATTTTTTTGAGATGTGTCGCGACTGTGACTTACAGAGTGCCCGTTTGGATGGGGATGCAGTGAGGGTCGCAATGTCATTCTTGGGAGTAGGGCCGTCGCCAAGGTAAGCGACACCGATGAGTTTAAAGGCAGCCCGGTTTAGGTTGGTGCCGGTTTCAGTGAACTTTTCCAAGAGGCATTGAGTGACCACTATGTCACCAGGTTTGAGATCGAGGGGGTAGGGCAAATTTTTGTCCTGTTGGAAGTTGTAGGACCCAAGCGGTTTGGCGTCATAGATGTTCTTGAATGGGTCATCCTGTGAGAGGTATGATACAGCGAAGAAACAAAAGCATCACGGGAATGAGATAGTCACCTCAGGTGCAAACGCGGACATGGGCACAGACTCTGAAGAGATGCTGATATTCTTGACGTTCTCTGGAGAGGAAAGGAGGTGGGTGGGATCACATCCTCATGGAAGTAAGGGAACGTACTGCTGGTAAACATTTTGATGAAGGTTGCAGCGTTAATGAACCCCTGGCGCGTAAGGGGGATTAGATCAAGAGCGTAGTTGCTTTGGTATTGCTTGGCATGCTTCACAATTCCTAAAAGTAAAAATCAAAGTTTGGCTCCGATACCGTTCTTTCCGATCATTGACTTGAAAGCGTAGATTTTGTGACATGCCAAGAACCCGAAACGATTGTCAGAGGGTTTAACGAGTTCCATGGCAATGATTCCTTCATCGTGTAGGTATTCGATTTCAGTGAAAGCATAAAGTCGCCTAAGTGTGACCATTAGCAGCACAACTGATATGTAGAGTTGAATACATACTTGAGGAAATCATCAGGGAAGCGACAGCGGTTGTTGAAAATTGTATCCGGGGCATAGTCCGTTGCAAGGACAGAGTCGATGTCTGTAAGACCGTCATGGGGAGTGGTAGTGAATCTAGTCAAAACAAAAGTGGAGGGGTGTAGGATGATTTGGGACGCAGCCTTTTCTTCTTCTTCCTTTTCGTCCTCCTTTGTATCTAGGATGTTATTATCAGCGATGAAGTGTTGACAATCAGTACTACCTACCATCACCCACTGTGTCGGACCAGGCATCTGGGGAGATGAGGGGAGGGAGGTCTGCTGGAGTGCTTTCGTTTGAATTAGTCGCTTCTTTGTCTGATGGTGTGTAAGAATCCAGTGAGTGTGAAACATAGTTTATGAGAGAGTAAGTGATGAACGAACCTTTTGATTCAGTAGTAACGGTCGTGTCCGTGGTGGTCTCAATAATCAATTCTGAGGTAAGATTATTAGGCAGTTATAGGGTTGCCGTTGAGGGAGGTTGTATAGTGACCTGAGGCGGATGCAGCTGCTGGATTATCTGAGGGTGTAGTGGTCGCTGGAGTGTGTGTATGAGCAGTTAGCGGAGGGACGATGAAGGATGGAGGAGATATACTTTGTGGAAGATCGGTCGAAGAAGTGTTCTTGATTGGTGTGGACATAGAGGTATTGCGTTTAGTTTTAGTCATAGTGTCTGTGCGGTGTGGTTTGAGGAGAGGGAGGGGATTTGAGAGTGAGGGAAAAGTCAGCAGCGGATTAAGTGGGTGTATAAGTAGGAGGAAGCCGTAGCGTCAAGTGAGAGGAGCGTGTATTGGGAGAGTGAAAAAGTCCGTTGGCAAAGCTAACATTGATTCAGAAAGGAAGGGGTCATGGGAGGTCAGCATGTGCCCACAGTTTAAGACTCTGTGGAGAGGTGGACATTGCCCGCTTTGACCCAGTAAGTTGGATCTAAAGAGAATTAGGTAAATTGCGACACTGTTGGAAATTAATCACTTTACTGCTTGTTGTCGTTTCCAGTGAGGTTCCAGGGAAGCGGAGTGAAAAGATAAGAAATGTATGTGGGCACTGTTATGGACATAGGGGAACAATCAGCAGGGAGGATCATGTGACGATCTATGAGTGGATCTGATGCCAGAAGCGGAGTGTTGGAGGCAAGTGAGAGAAGTTGTTATTCCACATCCCATAGCGCTGGGAGACTTGTTAACCCGTGAGGAGAGTAGTGTATGTTGGCCACGTGGTTCGTTGGTAGTGGGGACAGACGTTAGGAGATTTTAATGAAGTATTGTTAAGACTGGATAACAGAGTTTTCGGAGTAGTGGACACATTTCAGCAAAGTAGTAAAGCCTTTTATCAAAGACGCAGAGAGCCTCACCTTTGTACTTTCAGAGTCTTTATTGCCATGGCCTGGCATAGACTGTCGAAACCAGATGTTGTTTCGGTGATTGAGCGGGAAGGGGTACACTTAACTTGTGCACAGAAACGCTCTCGTAATCGGCTGAATGAGGAAGTGGGTCGTAGTGGAGATGTAGTGATTCAGGCATTGAATGATTTGGCACGGGAGCGCGGTCTCAATCGAACATTTCTTGATTCTGCAAGTGGGGAAGAGAAAGTGGCTTGTGTGACGGACTACTTGAGTGCACTCTCGAATGCAGCTGTGAAAGGGGGAGTGTGTGGGTGTTGCGGGAGGGACATAGGGGCTGGGGCTTGGACGGAGGTAGCATTTGCCGATATTCCAAACGTTCATCACTTGGAGCCACATCCTGTCCATGAGGGCATGCAGTTGACCTCGGGGCTCTTAGTGATCAAAGCCGCCATACGCGAAACGGAGGAGGGAGCACGGTATATGGGGGTGTGTTATGAGTGTCTAGCGTCATTGAAGAGAAACAAGATGCCTCTTTTTTCTTTGACGAATGGGTTATGGGTGGGAGACATACCCGATGAGATAGCCGATTTAACAATTCCTGAGCAGATGCTACTCGCTCTGGTCTATCCTCATTGTTTCGTGTTCAAGATGCATCCAGTTAATTCTCGTGGGATCGATCCAGACTCAATGCAACGCGGAATGGTTGGAAATGTTACAAGTTACGACATGGACACGGGAGAGATCATTGATATGCTGGAAGGAAGAAAGATGCCTCGACGCACCCGGATTCTCTCATCTGTCATCGCCGTGACTTATCTGGGACGAGGGCATCTGCCGAAGCATTGGCTCAAGAGCACTTTCCGCGTCCGTCGTAGGAAGGTACTTCTTGCATTACAGTGGCTGATTGCGAACAATCCTTTGTATGCGGGATTCGAAGTGGACATGGATATAGTATCATCCCTTCCAGAGGATGATGTGCCATTAGAGATTCTGGCGGCAGTGAGACAAGAAGTGGATGTTAGTTTGCTGAATAGGGAAAATGACAGTTACACTGCAAATGACGAGAGCGGAGGTGGGTTAACATGAATACTGATTATCACTATGACTATTGCTGAGATGCGTGTTTTTAACAGTCCATGCTGCGATGGATGGTGAAGAAGGAGCGGATTGTGAGAATCTACTGTGATTATAGTAAATGGTAATGCTTACATATTGACAGTAGCAGATGCAGAGAAAGAGCCTAGTGTGGTTCCTCTTACGCACTTGGGTGTAGCGGCGCAGGATATCAGTTTATTGTCAAGTGGGGACTTACTGAAGCATGCACTGGCGAATCTGTCTACTGAGGGTGGATACGTGGTTCGATCACGGACACAGTTTGCAAGGGATTTGGGCGAGGATCAGAATCCATTCTTTCTGTCTGCCTTTCCATGCATATATCCTTATGGACGTGGGGGTCCTAGGGGAGAAAGGAGTCGAAAACTATCCTTTTTGGAGCACATTCGATGGAGTCTTCTCTATTATGATGGGCATTTTCGAAGGCATCATTCATTCCCTTTCATCGCTTTCGCCATCTATCAGAAGCAGGAGTGTTTGTCGTCAGCAAGAATCCAAATGTCACGGAAGGATTTCGAAGCAGATATGAGGTTTTTGGCCTCAGTGACAGTAACCCAGTTACAGGTGGCAGCAGAGGAGGAGCGACAGAAGAAGGTGATTTCAGATGAAGGAGTTCGCAAGTTGTTGCGGCATTTGAAGATAACAGCGGGGCAAGTAGTGGGGACAAACCAGAGTCGTGCATCCATACGTAGCAAGATCTGGAGTCTGAGCATAAAGTTTGGCCCACCGAGCCTGTGGGTTACTATCAATCCGAGTGACTTGCATGATCCGATTGCGCAGGTTTTTTGTGGTGCAGAGGTGGATTTGGATCGGTTCGAACGAACCTCAGGTCCGAACGCCCGAGAACGGTCGGAAAACATCGCAGCAGATCCCATGGGAGCAGCACGTTTTTTCCATTTCTTCATAACCACAATGTTGGAGTGTTTGATAGGATTGAGTGTTCGCAAAAATCGAACGGTTGCGAGAGGAGGAGTTCTTGGACGAGTGGTAGCATACATTGGAGTAGTGGAGTCTCAGAACCGGGCGTCTCTTCATCTTCATTTGTTGCTTTGGTTGGAGGGAAGTCCAACATGCGAGGAGTTGAAGGACCTTTTCAAGACATCTGCCTTCCGTGCAAAAGTCTCTCAATACATCACCGAGAACATCCAAGCTCATATTAGCGACATGGACAAGGACCTCATAAAGGACATACCACGCGAAGCAGATCTTGCATGGTCTAGACCACTCAATCCTGCGATGCCCTTCTATGCTGCTCATAGAGTGGATATGGAGCGAAGATTAATGAGATCGAATCAAATTCACACTTGCCGGATCGGAGGTTGTCTGTCATATCATGGGCGAGCAGCACTTTTGATGTGCAAAAGAAGGGCACCCTGGCGGCTTTGCAAGGACGTGACTGTGGATGAAAGAGGCAATTGGACCGTCAAGAGAACGTACGGATATGTGAATAACTATAATCGAGAGTTATTGCTTGCACTCCGGTGTAATCACGACATCAAGTTACTTACCAACGGGGAAGATATGAAGAACTTATCCTGGTATATCTCGAATTATGCAACAAAAGGCCAGAAGAGTGTGTATAACATGTCTTCGCTGATAGCGAAGCATGCTGCATACGAGTTTGAGGAAACAGACGTAGTTCGGGAGTCTAGAGAGAGATTGCGGTTAATGCTCTTTCGATGTTTGAGGGCAACCAATCGAGAACAGGAACAGTCAGGACCTCAGGTGGTTTCGTATTTGATGGGATGGGGAGATCGGTTTCTGTCGCAAAGTTTCGTCCCATTGTACTGGAATGGAGTGAAGGCATTATTACTGCGATGGTATCCATCATTGCAGCAAAGACAGTAAGCATATCTAAAATTCTCCACCGTGAAAAGGTTCATAACGGGTACGGGTAGAGAGGAAACCACAGCTTCTACGCTGAACCAAACAGAGCCAGATGGTGAACACTTAATTCACAACGCTGACGCAAGCGGTGAGAATGATGGAGTGTGAAAGAGTCAAATAGCAGGAGGAAGAAGAACACGTCACTTTAGTGATGGCACAGAATGGCACGGTGCAAGCACGATCACAACTGAATGATTACATGTTGCGTGGAACGGAGCTGGAAGGATATAGTTTGTATAATTTCTTGCAAGACACATACGAAGAATGGACTGCAAGGGCTTTTCGGAGTGGAGAAGCCAACGATGCTAAAGAGCCTGGAGGGAGGGGGAGACCTCGGCACACCAGGTCTTCTTACGGACCAAAACATCGTTACCAGGAAACTAAGAGAAGAGTGGTTCGTGAGAATCAGCACAATACCGTGGTCGACATTGTGGGTACATGGATCCCTAGAGTATCCACAGATGGCAACAACGACTTGTATTATGCAAGTCTGTTGATGTTGTGGAAAAGTTGGCGAGGACCAAAGGATTTAAAGACAGAAGGGGAAAGTTGGAAAGAAGCTTACCAGGCTTTGGAGCAGCAAAGTCCAACAATAAAGCATTTCGCTTCGAATGCACAGTACCGCTACGAATGCAAGGAAGCTGCAGACAAAGATGAACGAGAAGCTGCATGGGGTGGAGAGAGAGGGAAAGAAGGAAAGGAAAGGAACGCTGAGAGTGATGGTGAGGAGGAAGAAAGTGAAGGTGGAGATAAAGGAGAGGAGACCAACGTGAATCAAGGTACAATAGAACAATTGTCCGTGTTCATTGCATCTCGAGAAATGACAGATGAGGTGAGAGATTCTTTAGAAGACTAGGGATCTACTAACACTTGAGAGAGACGCAGGTGATTCACGCCCGACAAGCAATAGAGATAGCCAAGAGTGCACGGATACTACGAGAAGTGGCGAATAATTGGGCAGTCACCACAGAAAGAATCCAACCAGCAACATATGAAAACATCCAAATGTTTAGTGGATGGTCGAGCACACTGAAGACAAGAACATCCTTAGAAGGGATGGAGGAGAGAAGTGGCACGGGAACGAGTGTTAGTACAGTGGAAGGGGAGGTTACGATGGAACAGGACGCCTACAATGAAACACAGCAAACCACTATCCAGCATGTCCCAGTCAGCAACCCTGTGATGGAAGTGGAGGTGTCAAGCTTTCATGAAGAACAGTTACGAGCGTATGAAAACGTGACAAACCATGTCAATGCAACAAAACGAGGAGTGGAGCGTGAGCAACTGCTTATGATTCTAACAGGAGAAGGAGGAACGGGCAAGTCTCGAGTAATTCATGGTTTGGCGCAGTACTTCGAGAGGCAAAATTCAAGCGATATGCTAGCAATGGGAGCATATACAGGAATTGCCGCCAGTTTGATTGGAGGGAAGACACTACACGTTCTGTTCGGCTTAACTCCAAGCCGTGCAGGAATGCCATCAGCTGCAAAGATACGTAAGCTGGCATGTTTCTGGGAAAAGAAAAAATACTTGATCATCGACGAATTCTCAATGGTGTCACGATCACTTCTTGCCCGCATGTCAACCATTCTCTCACTGATATGGCACCACAATCATCCAATGGAGAGGAGCACAAAGAGTTGGGGAGGGATGAGTGTCATAATATGCGGAGACTTTCATCAATTCAAGCCGGTGGTTCAAAAAAGAACAGCACCTCTCTACTGGCCCTCCAATCCAGGCACTGATAGCGCAGAAGAAGTAATCCGAACTGTATGAGGAGTTCACAACAGTTGTATTCCTGACCCACCAAATGCGAGTGCAAGATCATCAGCAAAAAATTGTTATGCTCCTGAGTGCTCCGGAGTATTGAGAGCACTGGGAGAATCAGGAGGAGATTGGCCGGTCCAGGAACAGCCCATTTCCTCCGGAGTTGGCTAGGTACTCCAGGGCACTCCCAGGAGGGCCTGGAGCATTGCTTTGTGCACAAACATATCCAGTAAATACAATTTAAATGCTTCAAAGTGTATAGGGGTGAGAAGCTTCTGGGAGCTCCTGGAGCATTTGAAAATGAAAAGGAAAAAAAGAGGGAAGATCCCCCATGAATACCTCCTACCACAAGACTAACACAACAAGACACTGCTTAACATTTAGATCAAACACTATACTATATATCAAGGACACTGAGACTCACCAATACACAATCAAAATTTATGGCCTGATATATGATTAATCTAGCAACTTAATCACTTTCGGGCTGGCAGAATATGGGGGAGGGGGAAATGAGGGAGAATGAGGGGGGGAAATGAGGGGGAAATGAGGGGGAGAATGAGGGGAGAATGAGGGGGAATGAGGGGGGAATGAGGGGGGAATGAGGGGGGGATATAGAGGGAAATGAGGAAAATTTGAAAAATAGGGACTTCTAAAAAGTTGAAAAAAATAATTAGGGAAAAAATCAAAAAAAATTCAGGAACTGTAGTGCCTTTGAAGTGCTTTCAGGATATATAATTATTTGCAAAATTGAGGAAGAAATGATGGAGAAAAATGGAAAATACTTTCGGAGACCCAAGAAATAATGAGAACTGAATTGATGGGAAAGTCTGAAAATTGAATAGGGAAGTGAGGGGAAGCCTTGTAGCATTGTTATTTTCTGCTGTTCTAATTTTTCCTGATTGTTCTTGGTCTCACTCCCAGCTGCTACTGGATACTCCTGGATACTCCTGGAAGCTCCTGGGAGGGTCCAGGAGCAGCTAATGGAAAATACTTTTGGAGACCCAAGAACTGAATTGATGGGAAAGTCTGAAAATTGAATAGGAAAGTGAGGGGAAGCCTTGTAGCATTGTGATTTTCTGCTGTTCTGATTTTTCCCAATTCTTCTTGGTCTCATTCCCAGCTGCTCCTCAATACTCCTGGAAGCTCCTGGGAGGGTCTAGGAGCAGCTGGGAGTGAGACCAAGAACAATCAGGAAAAATCAGAACAGCAGAAAATAACAATGCTTACAAGGCTTCCCCTCACTTTCCTATTCAATTTTCAGACTTTCCCATCAATTCAGTTCTCATTATTTCTCGGGTCTCCGAAAGTATTTTCCATTTTTCTCCATCATTTCTTCCCCAATTTTGCAAATAATTATATGTCCTGAAAGCACTTTAAAGGCACTATAGTTCCTGAATTTTTTTTTGATTTTTCCCTAAATTTTTTTTTCAACTTTTTAGAGACCAAAATTTTCCTCCCACTGTTCCTGGCACATTACATACTCCTCACCACTCCCAGCTGCTCCTGAACCCCCTCCCAGGAGAACACTATTGGCTCCAGGAGTGCCCAATCTGCTGTTTTGTCTCCCACATGCTCCAGCCACTCTTGATGCTCCGGAGCATAACGGACTTTTGCTGATGATGCGGGATGGACCGAATTCTTGAGACATAGCCGACATGGGACGTGTACGAGGGAACATATCCGAATGTTGCGTGGGCTCCTTCTAGGAACATCGAAGTGTCCTGAAACGAATGCAGAAGTACATCCGTGGAGGGAAGCGCTGTTAGTAACACCACGTCATGCCATACGGACACAATGGAACGAACTTGCATTACAGTTACACTGTCGGAGAGCAGGATCAGTCTTCTACCAATTCCATGCAGAAGATACAATGGAAGGACGAGAGTTGACTCTGTCAGAACGCTGGGCAGTGGCACGAAACATGTACAAAGACGACAGTCATTCAGGCCGATTAAGACGCGAAGGAGGACTGCCTCCAGTGGTGGAACTAGCAGTCGGAAGCAAAGTCATAATAACCACCAATCTGGACACTGACATCGACGTGGCAAATGGGGCTCAGGGACAGATAGTGGCGTTATGTGTCACGACCCGGCGTTCCCCGGGGCCAGACGACCTCCTCCCTAACCCTCTCCCACGCCCGAACACTCCCCGCACACTCCGCTCGCCGCCCGTCGCCGTCTAACCACTTCCCGCCACCTCTCCACAACCCCTCTCTTGATTGTCGTTGAACGACCTAGCGGCGCAGAGCGCCGCGACCTGTTGTCCCATGTTTCGCCGCACCTTGTTACCTCGCGGCGAAGGTCACGCTTGACCTTCGTTGTCTTGAACACGTGCCCTTTGTTTGTTTTCCTCCTTCTTTTCTCCGCCCGCAATCTCCGCGAGATCTGGCGACTTATTTCCTATTCAGTTTCCTAGCGCTTAAATACAGCTTGTAACTAGTGCTTGTACTGTAGTTCGAAATCAACTAGAATACACCCCCTAGGCTTACCTCTGTCCCCCGTGAGACCTCTGACTTTCTGAAGTATCGGGACCGCGTCGAGAACGAGGCGCAACGCTCCCCCCCGAGTCGTTGAAGCCGAAATCCCGGCTCTCTCGCCTAAGTAGCCTCGGCCTCGAGATCGGTGGGGATTATTCCTCGCTAAAGCTCGGTCGTGTGTAGGACGCCTATTCCACTAGCGGGCAACGCTCGGTCGCCTACGGCTACCCTCGGCGAAGATTCGCACGGTTCTGACAGTATTTCGAACTCCCTATCGCTCTTGACGCCCTTACGATGTCACAACGTATGACTCGCTCGCAGAGCAGGAACGCTGCGGCAGGACCTTCTACGACGCCTTATAGAGACTATAGCTCCAGTACCCCATTTGAAAGAGGTAGGACAGAGGAGAGACAATTTGAGAGCTTCACGGCGGGCGATGAGTACTACCCACGCTCCTCAACCCCGAGAAGGCGACGCCGAGACGCTAGCAAAAGCGACTCGGACGACGACTTAAGGGGTGGTAACGAGGGCGATGAAACAGCTCAGGCTCCGCCACCGCCGGTGACTGAGAGAAGGACTTCAGGCGCTGCAGCTGAAGCAGCCGCTGCGGCTACCCAAGACAATGGTGAGGATGACATCGAGGAAATCAATCCCGAGGAAGTCGATCCGAAGGATAAAGTCAACTTCATGCTCACCAGGGCAATCTCGGAACTAACCCGCACCACCCGCAGTATCCGCCTGATCATCCCTACACCTCCGCCACCAGCACCACCTCCTCTGCCTCCACGCCGCGAACCCCCCCGTAAAAAAGTCCGCGAACCCGACCAGTTCGACGGATCAGACCCTAAAAAACTCCGCACGTTCTTCGTTCAATGCGAAGTGAATTTCAAAACTCGAGCCTACGCCTTCCCCGACGAATCCGACAAGGTGTTGTATGCAGTGTCATACCTAAAGGGGCCGGCCCTCGACTTATTCGAGCCCGACCTCCTTCGCCGTCATCGCCTAGGTCGAGAACCACGTTGGATGAACGACTGGGAAAGGTTTGTGCACGAGTTAGAGCGCAACTTCGGCCCGCACGACCCTATCGGCGAGGCCGAAGAGTTGTTATTCAACCTCACGATGAAGGATGGGCAACGAGTTGGTAAATACGTGATCGAATTTAACCGCTATGCGGGCAAATTGGATAATTTCGGCGAAGGGGCACTCCGCGCCATGTTCTATCGCGGATTACCGGATCGAATTAAAGACGAGATCACTCGATTCGGTAAGCCCACGTCGTTATACGACTTACGAGACCTAGCCGAAGATATCGACGGCCGCTACTGGGAACGTAAGGTTCAGACCGAGCGGCGCAACAAGCCCGCTCACGATGCTAACGACAAGACGCCGCCTAAATCCTCTCCCGCAAAACACCAACGCCCTTCCGACCCCCCACCTAACCCTAGTAACAAAACGCCAAAAGACAAGGAGTCCAACGGCAAACCAAAACCCGACCTCGCCGCAAAACTCGACAAAAATGGCAGGCTTACGAAGGAAGAGCGCCAACGCCGCTTCGATAATAAGCTCTGTATGTTCTGCGGAAAGGCCGGTCATGTAGCTAAGGATTGCTACAAGGCTGGTTCTAGCGCTTCCAAGGCTAGGGCAGCCAAGGTGGCAACGCCTGAACCGGAGTCAGACTCGTCGTCTGACCCAAAAAATTAGCCGGCAACCATCCGGACCACGCACGATCGGACGGTTGCGGTCAACCGGTTCGTGCGCAGAGGGAGGTACGCTTGAACGCGTCCGCCCTCTCCAGCCCCAATTCTTTCTCTGTCCCGGTTTCCTTTTGTTCCATTGACGGTCGATTTCCTAATTCAAGGGGGAATGCCCCCGGCTCTCCTTTGTTTTCTTCTTCCGGGACTCCTGTCTCCCATGCGCATATGTTTTCTCCTGACGGTCTATTTTCCCCAGAAAAATGTGATCCCTCCGTTGTTTTCTCCGCTCTTATAGATTCAGGTTCCTCTGACTGTTTTATTGATACAGAATTGATTAATAAAATAAAGATCCCGACCTATACCGTGACCCCTATGCAGCTCCGCTTATTCGACGGCACCACAAACAATGTGATAACCCGCGCCGTCGATCTCCCCGTCCGTTTTATTACCGGTGATGTTACCCCGATGACATTCTTTGTCACCCCATTGGATGGCTCTTGTGCTATCGTCCTTGGACATAACTGGCTCGCCCGATACAATCCGTTGATTGACTGGGTAAAGAGCAGTTTAACTTTCCAGACGTCTGAACAATCCAGTCCGATCTCCCAGAGCTCTCCTGAACCATCGCCGAATGCTGTTCCTCCAGCGGACACATCGGTTCCCGTATCAAAAGACACACCGAGTAATCCCGACCGCCAGGCTCCTTTGATCGAGTTAGTCAGCCCTGCGGCATTTGTCCGCGCTGCCCGACTAGAAGGTTCCGTAACCTTCAGCCTGAGCATCCCGTCCCAAGCGAGCGAGCTGCGCTCATCCACCTTGTCCGAGCCCGCCGACCTCGAAGCCGTACCGAAGGTCTATCACGAATTCGCCGATGTGTTTAGCAAAAGCAAGGCTAACACTCTGGCGCCACATCGTGAGTTCGACCTGAAGATCGAGCTAGAGGAAGGTGCGCACCCCCCGTTGGGAACCCTATATTCCCTATCCCCGACCGAACTTGAGGCTCTTCGAGCATTCCTAGACGAGCACCTGGCAACCGGCTTCATTAGGCCGTCTTCATCGGCTCACGCCGCGCCGGTGCTCTTCGTCCGCAAGAAAGATGGATCGCTCCGTCTTTGCGTGGATTTCAGGGGCCTCAATCGGATTACAAAGAAAGATAGATACCCGCTGCCTCGCATAGCAGACCTGCTAGATGCCCCGAGCCGAGCGAAGGTGTATACAAAACTCGACCTGCGGCACGCCTACCACCTTGTGCGCATCGCCGCAGGCGACGAGTGGAAGACCTCGTTCCGAACCCGCTATGGTTCCTATGAATGGCTAGTCATGCCATTCGGGCTCACCAATGCACCTGCGGCGTTCCAGCGGTTCGTCAACTCTATCTTCGCCGACCTCCTAGATGTCTGTGTTGTCGTATACCTGGATGATATCCTAGTGTACTCTGAGGACGAAGCCTCTCATGAGGAACACGTCCGGGAAGTCCTCCGCAGGCTTCGACAGCACGGGCTATTTGCCAACCCGAAGAAATGTGAGTTCCATACCGAGACTACGGAGTACCTCGGGTACGTACTTTCTCCTAGCGGACTTGCCATGTCCTCAGAGAAGGTGAAGGCCATCCAAGATTGGCCCGAGCCCCGTAAGGTAAAGGACATTCAGTCCTTCTTGGGATTCGCCAATTTCTATCGGCGATTCATCCACGAGTATTCCGATATTGTGGTACCACTGACCCGGCTCACCCGAAAGGGGGCCCCTTGGGTATTCACCGACGATTGTCGTTCGGCTTTCCAACGACTTAAGGACGCCTTCACTTCCGCCCCCATTTTGACCCATTGGGTTCCCGACGCGCCGATCATAGTCGAAACCGACGCCTCCGATTACGCGATTTCAGGCATTATCTCTATCCGCTGTGCGGATGACGAGATACGCCCTGTCGCTTTTCGTTCGAGGACGTTGACGGCGCCGGAACTCAACTACGACACCCACGACAAGGAGCTTCTAGCAATCTATGAAGCATTCCGAGGGTGGCGGCATTACTTGGAAGGCTCCGGTACCCCCGTCGATGTGGTTACTGACCACAAGAATTTGGAATACTTCTGCACCACGAAGCTCCTAACGCGCCGCCAGGCTCGTTGGTCTGAGTTTCTCTCTCAATTTAACTTGGTTGTCCGTTTCCGCCCGGGTAGACTCGGCGCGAAACCAGATGCGTTGACTAGACGCTGGGACGTCTACCCCAAAGAGGGGGATAGGGACTACGCTCGCGTAAACCCTCAGAACTTCCGACCGGTGTTCACGCAGGAGCAGCTCGCGTCCTCCCTAAGAGCTACATACCTCGCCGAACCCGTGCTACGAGCGAGCTCCCTCGTCGACGTCGACGCCATCCACAAAGACATCCTAGCCGCCCTCTCCGCTGATCCCACCATCGCCGACTACCTCGCCGGCCCGATCCCAGAGGACTCCCGTTGGTCTCGAAACGCAGATGGCCTATTACGGCTAGACAACCGAATCTACGTCCCCGATGCCAACGACCTCCGGCTTCGCATCCTGAGGTATAAGCATGACCACCCGCTCTCTGGCCACTTCGGGCAGAACCGAACCTTGGATCTGTTACGCCGAGAGTACACCTGGCCGGGCGTCCGCACATTCGTCAAGGACTATGTGTCCTCCTGTACGGCTTGCGCCCGCGCTAAGACCCCACGACACAAGCCGTATGGCTTGCTCAAACAGCTACCTATCCCCGAACGCCCGTGGCACTCCATATCAATGGATTTCATTGAGCAACTTCCCGACTCCTCCGGCTTCACGGCTATTTTGGTGATCGTCGACCGGCTATCAAAGCAGTGCGTCTTCGTGCCAACGACCGATACCATAACAGCCCCGGAGTTGGCGAAGTTGTTCCTCCTCCACGTCTTCTCCAAGCACGGCGTTCCATCCCACATAACCTCTGATAGGGGTTCAGAATTCGTTTCTCACTTTTTCCGCTCCCTTGGCAAGGCTCTGGACATTCGCCTACACTTCACCTCGGGTTACCATCCCGAAGGCGACGGTCAGACCGAACGAATGAACCAAACACTGGAGCAATATCTGCGCGTCTATTGTAACTACCAACAGGACAATTGGTCTGAGCTCCTGCCCCTGGCGGAGTTCGCCTATAATAACGCGCCGAATGCTACAACCGGTGTTTCACCGTTCTTCGCGAACAAAGGTTACCACCCGAACCTTGCCGTACACCCCGAGCGAGATCTGACTTCGGCGCGAGCCCAGGAGTACTCAGTCGATCTCGACTCTCTCCACCAATTCCTACGCGAGGAAATGAACCACGCACAGCAACGCTACCAAGGCCCCGCGGATGCTCGACGGCTACCTGCTCCCCCGTTCGGCATTGGCAGCTCCGCATTCGTGAAGGCCAAGTACTTCCGCACCACTAGGCCTTCGGCGAAGCTCGCCGATAAGAACCTTGGGCCGTTCGAGATCATCGCACAGCCAGGTTCTCATTCTCGTACTCTCCGCCTCCCCGACACCATGAAGGCTGTGCACCCAGTCTTTCATGTCTCCCAACTTGAGCCCGCTGTTCCCAACCCCATCCCGAACCGCACGCAGCCGCCACCGCCGCCAATCGAAATCGACGGCGAACTTGAATATGAGATCGCCGAGATCCTCGACTCTAAAATCGATCGCCGGCGAAGCTGCAAGCTGTTGTACCTTGTACGTTGGGACGGTTACGAAGGGACTACAGAAGAAACTGAGTGGCTCCCCGCGACCGAACTTGGTCACGCTTCAGACCTCGTTGCGGACTTTCACTCACGATACCCGGATAAGCCGGGACCAAATCGCGCCTAAGGCACGGGACGGAATGGATGGATTGCGCTTAAGGATCATGTAAGAACAAAGTGGAGTAGGAGTCGGAAGTAGACGTCGCGGGATGATCGACCCTAGACCCCGCCACACTCGCCTCCCTCTCCCCCGCTTCCCTCGCCTCGCGCCTCGCCCTCGCCTCCATCAACCGCCTCTCTTCAGTGTCACAAACGTGTTCCAACAATCGTCCCGCCACGGCAGTTAGACCAGAGATCGCTTGATGGATGTCGCGAAGCACATCATAGATCCTGTCCTTCTCGTTGACCACCTCATCTTCCTCCGTCTCCACATCGTCCACATCCATCGTTGACCCCTCTCCTTTCGGCGCTTTGATACGAGGTCGCTCCGTAGATTGAGGCGTCCCCGCTCCGCGTACACACTTCTGCCTGGACTTCTGACACGCGGCGCAGACGCCACGATCGCTGTTGCCTTTGACACACTCCACGCCTCTCTTCACGCAACGTTCGCAGGGTGGCAGTCCTTCCCCCGCCACTGATGTAGCAGCAGGACGCTTTGATCAGGGCGATCAGTAAGGGTTCCTGGCAAAGATCACACTGATCGGGGTACTCACCTTGCCTGCGACCACATCTGACGCCTTCGATCGCCTCTCCTCCTCAGCGGCGAGACGTGCAGCCTCAGCTCGAGCCCTGGCCGCCTCTTCTTGTTGTTGGGCCTCACGACGCGCAATCTCAGCCCTGCGACGCCGCAACCTCTCCGCCTGTTTCTGCTCCATCAGCTCTACATCGTCATCGGACTGATCGACGATGTCCTCCTTGCTCCACGTCCTTATATCCGTTGGATTTTTCTTGGGGGCCATGAGGTTGGAAGATCAGGTTGTGGTGGTGGTAAGTTCGATCACCGCGCCGGCGGAACCAAAATTTCGGGCTCAGCCGAACCGGTTCCCACGCCAGTTCCTTGGGACTTCAAGGGTTCAGTCCTAAGAGGGGGATACTGTCACGACCCGGCGTTCCCCGGGGCCAGACGACCTCCTCCCTAACCCTCTCCCACGCCCGAACACTCCCCGCACACTCCGCTCGCCGCCCGTCGCCGTCTAACCACTTCCCGCCACCTCTCCACAACCCCTCTCTTGATTGTCGTTGAACGACCTAGCGGCGCAGAGCGCCGCGACCTGTTGTCCCATGTTTCGCCGCACCTTGTTACCTCGCGGCGAAGGTCACGCTTGACCTTCGTTGTCTTGAACACGTGCCCTTTGTTTGTTTTCCTCCTTCTTTTCTCCGCCCGCAATCTCCGCGAGATCTGGCGACTTATTTCCTATTCAGTTTCCTAGCGCTTAAATACAGCTTGTAACTAGTGCTTGTACTGTAGTTCGAAATCAACTAGAATACACCCCCTAGGCTTACCTCTGTCCCCCGTGAGACCTCTGACTTTCTGAAGTATCGGGACCGCGTCGAGAACGAGGCGCAACGCTCCCCCCCGAGTCGTTGAAGCCGAAATCCCGGCTCTCTCGCCTAAGTAGCCTCGGCCTCGAGATCGGTGGGGATTATTCCTCGCTAAAGCTCGGTCGTGTGTAGGACGCCTATTCCACTAGCGGGCAACGCTCGGTCGCCTACGGCTACCCTCGGCGAAGATTCGCACGGTTCTGACATTATGGGCAGATCCCCGTGAAGAGACGGAAACCTCCGGAGCGGTGCAAGAAATGAAGTATCCACCATCTTGTGCATTGGTGAAATTAGAACGATACCGAGGACCGCAAATAGAGGAACTGGGGGTGTCAACAATCCCAATCATTCCTATTGAACGATCATTCGAAGTGAGGATGGGAAGTGGAGATAAGAAAGTCATCAAAAGGAGGCAGATAACACTGGATGGGGCTTACGCTTTTACAGACTATCGTGCGCAGGGACAAACCATAGAGTACCTATGGGTGGACATAGGAACCCCACTGAGAGGAAGTCTTACACCCTTCAACGCGTATGTCACACTGTCAAGAGCACGAGGACGCGCAAACGTAAGATTGGTACGAGACTTCAAGGACTCACTGTTCACCAAGATACCGTGCGAGCTCTTGGAGAAGGAGGATGAAAGATTGATTGGAATGAGCAAAAAAAACAAAAGAGAATGGACGAAACAGAAACAGACACGTTGAAACGAATGAAACAATACAAAGAAGGACATGTTTCCGAAGCGTGACCAGAAAGTGATAACCAATCCCAAAGTTGTGTAATGAACAACGACAAAAGAGAAACCAACACGTAAGCACAAGTAGCACAAACTACGTAATTATGCCAGGGCAGAGTGACACTGCTGTGCAGGTAATTTGAAAATCTTAGGAACAAGAAAAACAAAGATTGGACGGGAGACAGAAGTCCCAGAAATGGAAAACAACCTAGAGCCGGGGCATGTCCCCTTGAACGGGAAATTGACCGTAGTCAAACCAAAAAAGGAAACAGAAAGAGAAAACGGAAATGGAGCAGACTATTTGTTTTGTCTCAGGAGAGATGCCCGGTTTGATTTCCGGAGGTGCGACCTTGGTTGCTCAGGCCAAAGGTGCACTAACAAGAGTTTTAGGCGATTCAAAGCCGTTAAGCCGCAAACTAACGCGGGGTTGTGAAGTGGTGAGCTTCAACAACGGGTCAAGAATGTGACGGAGGTCCTTGGCAGTCCCTAGCCGTCTAGGCTGGGCTAACCGCAGACTAACAAGAAGTTGTGAAGCGGCGAGCTTCAACAACGGCGGAGGTGTAACGGTGATCTTTGGCAGTCTTTGGTCTTCTAGGCCTGGACTTGCTGCAGATTAATGGGATTGCGGAAATGCGGGGGTGGTCGGTTCCTATCGACCTAACGGGTTTCACAAGCATCTACAGATGCGTCCTAGGGTACAGGATAATGGCAGAGGGCAGGCATATGGGTACTGTCTCGCCGAGACTTTCGCCACACTCCTGACCACTCCGGCCTAACAGAAAACAGCGTCTAGCCGAATGCGGGGGTGACGGCGAACTCAACCGTCAGCGGACCGAGGAGAGCTAGATGCCAGCAGGGAAAACCCATAAGGAAATCCAACCATGATGTGACCAGCGGCGCACTAAGCGTCTCCAGCGATCAACAGTTAGAGATCCGGGTGAATACCCAGCGGCTTGGAAAGCGGGATTGATAACCGAAGTTAACGGTATCGCGGGTGAATGAGCGGGGATGCCTGGATGACTGAAATGTCATGTGGCATGGGAAAGCGGGGAACAGGATGGCAAAGAGGGACAACGGCAGCGCAAGCCAGACTAGAAGTAGCCTGACCAGCTGAACACTCCCCCCTGGAGATGTGCTCGTTCTGCATTGGCAAACCCCCCCTGGGAGCAAGCCAATTGGCGTCGTCTGGGTCGGAATGGATGAGGAATGCCTAAGTTAACCTACTCCCAGGACTTTGGAAGAGGCATCGGGGTACAAAGCGGCGGCGATCTTGAAATCAGTTGCACGCTTGCCGGAGGTTTGGATGTCGGAGTTGAAGTGGATGATGGGTGCCTATCTGGACTGCTTCCAGGACTTTGGAAGAGATGCCCACAAGGACTCGGGGTGCCAGCGGCTTGCTAGCGGCGTCAGAGGGGTCGGATTGGAGATCGGGATTGGTAGAAGTCAGGTTTCCGAAATCTGATTGAGATCGGATAAGACTGATGGGGGTCGCGATAAGACTGGATGAAGGGTCAGAAAGGACAGGAAGGGGCTACAACTCAGGCTCGCAGATCGGGGCACAATCTGTAGCACAGAGTGGTATAGCCAGAGTTGGGTTGGAACTGAAATGTCGCGCATCCAGTGAATATGGTGTTCAGCGACCTAGAAACCCCATCTGAGTACCTATCCAAGGCCCCAGAGGGTCAGAGAACGTGGGTTTGAGCTACACTAGCATCAGGGACCCAAGAATTCCTACTGAGAGCAATCCAGCTTCAGTGGGAGTGGTTTTCGCGCGATTATCGGCCGTGGGAAAGATCCTTGATCGGCGACGTGGCACGGTATCGCGGGAAAGCTGAGATCGGAGTCAAAACTAGGAACGATGTTGAGACAACCTAGGGAGAGAGCTCTAATATACTGTTAGACACTGGTCCGGGGTCGGCACCGAAGGTCGCCGTTGCGGGCCGCTATAGGCCGCGATGGCCGTGATGCTGCAAACAAGGCCCGAGGGTAGGGCATTTGGCCTCAGCAACTCTAAAGGGAGTGCTGTGCCCCCTAGCTGTCTCTTGGCCCTCATTTCAGACTCACTGGGGTTGCCTTGTTGGGGTCAGGACTTAGGGGTCATGGTCACATCGATATTAGAGCTAAGGTACAATAAAGTATCATACAGGATATATATATGAAGGCAGAATGAATTGAAGCGGACCCGGGCTGAAGGCCGAGGGGTCCGGAAGCAAACATGAATAAGGAGCGGGGTTGGCCACATAGTGGCCGGCAATGACTGAGGGTCAAAACAAACAATAACAGATAAATAAAGGAAGGAGCATAGGGCTGCGATAGCGGCAATGGTATCGTAGCAGTGCTGGACTCGGAGTTGGGCCGGAGTCAGGTGTGGGGATAGTAGTGGCCCTGTAGGGGCCAAGTGGGTGGGTGTCAGGGACAGCTCCGAAAGTGGCAAGGTCCCGGCGTGCGGGACTTGGTGGGACGAATAGCAGCTGTGCATAGTGGCGATCCATCACAGGGTGAGCGTCCCCGACCACTTAGTCTGAAGTGGGAATGTGAGAAGAAGGCTACTTCTTCGGTTCCCACTCCAGCTGTTATTATATACATGCGGGATCGATCACGTGGGGTGCGCCACATCACCCTCGCACACAGCCATGGCTCTCCGGGTGCCTCTGCAGGAGGTCCCGAGAGGGCCCACTGTGGGTGCAGGGCAAGTGCGGCAGCGGTGGCGGCGATATAGGGATGGTAAGATACAGGAGGGGAAATGGGCATGCATGCCAGTGATACATTGAGCAGCAAGAAAGGTGGTCCATGTAAGAGAGAGAGAAAGAAAGAAAGAAAGGAGGAAAGGAGAAAGGAAGAGAGAGAGGAGGGAGAAGCGGTGCGGAGCAGGGGTCGGGCGGGGCGTGTCAGGGCGTGCCCTGACAGTGGGGTAGAGGAGTCGCGCTGGGCATGGTGCCAGAGGTGGACTCAGGGTGGGAAGGTTGGTGCAGCAGCGGGGGAGTCGGCCAAGTGTAGGGGAGCCTAAGGGCAAGCAGGGGAGTGAGCAGGGAGTCCTCAGGGAGGACAGGGCTGAGGTTGGGGCTTGCGCTCATGCTCACATAGCGGGAACGTGTCAGGGCACACCCACCTGACCCTGTGCCACACCCCGCACCGTACTGCCCTACTCCGCTTCCCCCACTATCACTCCCCGTCCCTCCTTTCTCACTTTCCCCCTTTCTCTCTATTTCTATTCTATGGTTGATTTCCCTTTTCTCCATGTACCACTACATACCTAACCCCGTTCCCCTGATCGCCGCATGCGCCGTGCACACTCCCGCCTACTGAGCAGCCACCTTCAGGATCTCCCACAGAGACACCTGGGGAGGTGCAGCTGTGTGCGGAGATGATGTGGCTTCCTCCATATAACCCTAACTGCATGTATATAATAGCGCCTGGGGTGGGAACAGAAGAAGCAGCCTTCTTCTCAACTTCCCACTTCAGCCTAAGTGGTCAGGGATGCTCACCCCGTGACGGGACCGCTGCTACGCATAGCCGACACCTGCCCCATTGAGTCCCTCACGCCGGGACCTCGCCGCTTTCAGAGCTGTCCCTGACAGCAGAAGAAGGCTTTAACCTCATCTCCCCCACCTCCCCCATCTCCCCTGCTATGGTGACCGAAGAGCAGTATGACGAGCTGCTGTCCCGATTCCAAGAGCTCCAGGCCATCGTAGAGAGCCAAGTCCAGAACCAACCCCCAGCTGCACCTGCACTGGCGCCAGCGCCTGCACCGGCGCCCACACCCGCCCCCAGACTGTCAGGGACAGCTCCGAAAGCGGCAAGGTCCCGGCATGAGGGACTCGATGGGACAGGTGTCGGCTATGCATAGTGGCGGTCCCGTCGCAGGGTGAGCATCCCCAACCACTTAGGCTGAAGTGGGAAATTGAGTTATCATTAAAAGGGAAAAGCTATGGTACTGTCAGGGGACGACTCCCGGGTCCCCATGACCCTCCCCTATGATCCACAGCCCTGAGGTGTAACCAGCCCTATCCAGGGCACAACCTACTGTGGGTAAGGAGATGAGAAGGAAGCTAACTTCTCATCTTCCCACAGTGGCCACAATATCAGCAAAACTTCCGGGGATACCCGGAAGTCACATGAAGGGGTAGGAACTGGGCCCGGAGCATGCGGCGCGCGGAGCGTGTGTGCGTGCGGTGTAGGAGAAATAATATTCAAAGAATAAAACAATGATCTATCAGAATAGTCAACGAACAGGTGACAAGTTCAGACGTTTAACAGATCTCATGATCTTTATGAGACTGGACAGACATTAGAAGATCATTATAAATTATCTACACCCATGTAGCATGAGATTTAATCTACTACAAGCATGCCTAGAACCTGGCATAGGTGTAATATTCAAAGAATATATCCCTACAACAAGAAAATAGCACATAGATGGCAGAATAAGAAGGAACATTGGGAAAGAAATGTGAATATCTCGGGAACCAGTAAACTTTTGACTGTAATCTTTTTACCATCTGAAAGAACTGTTTCTTAACTTTATCCACGGTTTTGTTTCATTCTAAAAGCTTCAAAACTGACGGAGATATTGCTCAAACGGCGAAACACCTTATAATTCATATATATTTATTTGCTAATTCTTACAAAAAGTAATGTGACTCAAGGGAAATATATTGGCGCCCAGAAGTCTGGCGGACCGAATACCATATGACAGAGTATTCCCCGGCGCAGGCGGACAGTTTTTGATCGCGTCAGAAGAGGAGAAAATGCTAAAAAACCGGATCTTGTATATTTTCCCATGATTCATCAAAACTTTTTGATTTTAAGCTCAAATAAATCGGAACAAAGGAATGATTGATGATCTGGATCTCGGATCATAAGCATGAAGTGATTCAGAAGTCCGTGGATCGGTTAATTAATTGGGAAGGCTCTAGAACATTAGTAATGATGCGGCTTCACAAAAAGGGGTCAATTAGAGAACAGTCT